TCTGATGTGTCAAAATTCAGTTTTCAGCCTTTTACGTTGTGTCAAGTCTATAATGCATTGAAATCATTAGATGCTCGAAATGCTTTCAGTCAGGTTTTAGAAAAGGTTATAGTACTATCACAGCGACTTTGAAAGTGATGAACGATATCTTGGCAGCTCTTGACAATAAACAGCATTGTGCTGCACTCTTCATTGATTTCTCAAAAGCGTTCGACACTGTCAACCACAATTTACTTAGAGATTGACCAATATTGGACTCTCTAAACAAGCTGTTGGATGGTTCAGTAATTATCTGACTGATCGTTCCCAATGTGTCAAATCAGATAAAATTTGTTCTAGTACATTGTCACTAACTAAAGGAGTGCCCCAAGGCTCCGTTCTGGGGCCTCTACTATTTACTATCCATGTGAACAATGTTGGCCAGGATCTTATAGACACTAACTACCATTTTTATGCTGATGACATGGTTTTTTACAGTTTTGGAAAAAACCCTAGTTTGAGTGTCTCTACTTTACAAATTGCTTTTAATACGGTTCAGTACAGGCTTTTAAAACTAGATCTTTCTTTAAATTCAAATAAAACTAAAATGATGTTATTTTCAAAAACAAAGACAAAATTGCAAAATAGCTATCCTCTTATCACCTTGGATGGGTCAGAGATAGAAAGGGTTCAATCTTTTAAATATTTAGGAATTTTAATTGAGGAAAGTCTAAATTTTAAACCTCATGTTGAACAATTGATTAAGAAACTCCTTCTTCTTTAGGAATAGGCTTTGTTTCTCTTTTAATTTGAAGAAGAGATTGGTAGCTGCAACGTTTTTACCCATTCTGGACTATGGTGACCCAATCTATATCAATGCCCCAGATCAAGTTCTAAAATTTTTAGACTCAGTTTACCATGCCTCCCTATGATTTATCACAAATTGTAAGCCTCGCACACACCACTGTGAACTTTACATGCGTGTGGGCTGGCCAGCATTAGAGACTCGTAGACTCACTCACTGGTATATGATGATTTATAAGGGTATTCTGCGTTTGCTCCCCTCATACCTCTGTGAGTACCTTCAACCAAGAGCGGCTGGACTGTATTCTCTACGTTCTCAAGAGTCTTTGCTTCTGTCTGTACNTAAATTTTAAACCTCATGTTGAACAATTGATTAAGAAACTCAGACTGAAAATTGGCTTCTTCTTTAGGAATAGGCTTTGTTTCTCTTTTAATTCGAAGAAGAGACTGGTAGCTGCAATGTTTTTACCCGTTCTGGACTATGGTGACCCAATCTATATCAATGCCCCAGATCAAGTTCTAAAAATTTTAGACTCAGTTTACCATGCCTCCCTACGATTTATCACAAATTGTAAGCCTTACACACACCACTGTGAAATTTACATACGTGTGGGCTGGCCAGCATTAGAGACTCGTAGACTCACTCACTGGTATATGATCATTTATAAGGGTATTCTGCGTCTGCTCCCCTCATACCTCTGTGAGTACATTCAACCAAAAGCGGCTGGACTGTATTCTCTACGTTCTCAAGAGTCTTTGCTTCTGACTGTACTTAGTGTCTGCACTGAAGCTGGAAAGACAGCTTTTCAGTACTCTGCCCCCACAGCATGGAACAATCTTCAGAAAGACTGAAAGTTGAAGGATTTGATTCCAATCAGACATTTTAAACGATTGCTCAAAGGCTTGGAAATGAGATCTATGGTTTGTAACTGTTTTATGAATTTCTAATTATAGATAGATGTAATTGTAAACTGTAATGTAATTTGTAATCGAATCTTTTGCCGCTGTCTTGGCCAGGACTCCCTTGAAAAAGAGATTGTTAATCTCAATGGGACTTTTCCTGGTTAAATAAAGGAATAAAATAAAATTGTGGATTGGTGAGAGGGGAATGACACAAATCTGTTGAGTAACTAAACGGAACAGTGACATTCCTGAAGGCTCGACATATCTGTACATTTGCCTTTGAAAAATTTTCTGTCACCTACAATATAAAAAGGTACTAATTGCCTAAAAATATAGTAGCCTACAGCATAAATAATTTTTGATGACTTTTTTTTATAGCAAGTGTGGGCTTAAGATAAATCATTGACTGCCGTAACATTTACAAATAGTATACGATAAAGTGGAAGAGATATAGAATGACCAAAACTCAGTCAAGAAGTGGTAGGCTATGTAAAGTCACAACAGATACTGTGGCACATAGTGAGCAGAGGTTACAAACATCCTGCTGTCAGTAGTCTAAGGCCTTCATACTTCACGTGACATTTAGATAAGCTCAAGAGCAATGTGTAGCAAGTTACATGGAAAAATGAAGAAGTGTGATGAATGTTTATTTACTCCTGTAGTCCTTAGAGGTAGGCAGGATTATTGATATTATCTATCTTAACTTGTTAAATGTCAAAGTTAGTTACCGCCGTTAGTTCAAGAGGGCGGCACAGGTGGCAACCAGTAATTGAGCTCTCTCAACCAATGTACTACCCCAATGCCCCACTGCTCTCCTCTTCCCTCTGTTTTCTGGGTGATTCGTCCCCCCGTTTTGGGCACTCTGACTAAAACAAAACATGGACCAAGTGAAGGAGAAAGATGCGTGTTTGCTAAGAAAAAAACAAAACTCCACAATCATCAACAAATGACCAAGCTAAAAATCAGTGGTGTTCATAATGATTGTCCGGTTGTCGATCGTAGCCGATCGGGTGAAAATCGGGCAAATTACAAGCACTGCCAATTGACCCTTGCAAGTCTAGTTCCATGCCACGACTGGACTCCAGAGCAGTTGAAGCATTCTCTGGAGTTCAGTATTGCACTTTTCCGAGTGAAAAATATAACAAGTCTGGGTTTGGTGGGGGGCAGGAGTACTTGTCTGATTGCATTGTGTCAAATGTAAAGTTGGGTGGAAGGGGGATTACATTGTGGAGTTTTTCTTTTGAGGAGCTGGGCTTAGCCCCTTAAGGCTGGTTTATACTCCAAAACCAGGTTGTCTGTGTGTGTGTTGCAGTGAACGCAAATGTGCCCCTGCCCCTTCTACAGACACTCTGTTGTACCTCTCCAAAATTGTAGGTGACCACAGACTGGAAGCCTCTGATTGGTCAAATCTACATCTGCTCTACACTATCTGTATTTTCTGTTTGGTACCTAACCAGCTTGTTTTGTTTGTATGACCGTCATTGTGGAAAACGACTCATAAAGTTGGACCAGCTAGAAGAGCAAGGTGTGCAAGAACGCTGGGACCATTTTTCAACCTGGATCCCCACTCTTTTTCGCCCTCATGTCCCTCCGTTGTCGCTCAAATTTGCCCCCACTTCCTCACTGCCTCGACCGTATCTAGACCCACAGCTAGTTTATGATTGTCCCACTTGCGTTTTGGCATGGAATAACAGCAAAGACCACTCGTCAATATTGGGCATAAATCAAAAATATCTGCGGCAAGCTCACTGTGACATACTGCTGCTGGAGTATAACCAGCCCTTTAGTACTATTGAAAGGAACTCTGACTCAGCATACCAAGACATTTTGGACAATTCCACGCTCTTGTCTTTTTCCAATATGACTGTTCGCCAGAACAGGGTCCATTAAGATATGGGTAGCAGAGTATGGTTTGGATGAACTTAACAAGGTTACACAGAGTCCTGGCCCCAACTAAACAGTACATATTTTGGATGAATTTCAGCAAGACAAAGCCAGACCTTCTTGTCCCACATCAGTGTGTGACCTCACAACTGTGCTTCTGGAAGAAAGCACACACTTAAACCTTGAGGAGAGTCTCCCCTGAAAAGTTGAAGCTGTTTTAGCCGCAAAGGGTGGACCTGTGTTATTTTTAATCCTTAGGGATTAGAATTGGATATAGCTTAAGCTCATATGCAAGTCAAGGCAGGTGAGAGAAAACATTTGGCAATATTTTTTTGTCCTTTAAAAAAAAAAAAAAAAAAAATCACACATATTTTCAGTTTTGGCGGTTTTTCAAAAATACATATTAGAGTGCATAAATGTAGTAGCACTGGGGACTAATTACAAACTTATCTCATTAAATTATGTAATCACTGTGCATTTATGAGGGTTGATGTATTTAATTCATTTTTAAGTGGTTAATTGGAGGGGGGAGGTAATGTCTAATGCTTATTACTCTATTCCCCCAAAAAATGTAAAAGAAAATAAAAACACTTAAAACCACAGAAATAACATTTAACACAAAGTATATGCTTTATTTAAGGCCAATTTCAAAGTATCATATAAAGAAATGTATAATGTAACAGAATTTATTGTTCTAAAACACATGCACATATCTATCAAAAATGAACAGTCATTACTGAATAGAAATTCATTTCATGTGCATTTAGAACACTCTAAACACATTTTTTTTTCTTTTACTTGTGATTAGTTCTACTGCTACAATGAGTCAACGGCTAATGATGCTCTCACAATTTACACTCTAGGTAAGGATAAAAATCAGATATGTGACAAATCGCATCGTTTCATGAAAATGAAAACTAGCTGTGTTATGGAAGCATTGTAGTGTACCACTTATTTTAGTTGCATTGTTCTCACCAACACTGTTTTAAAATCCATTAACACAAGGTTTCATGATCAGTATAAATCAGTACTAAAAAGGAAGTTCTCACACAAAATAACAAATGAAAAAAAAAAGGTTCATGTCCTTGAATCTAAGGTACATGTATATGCATGTTTCGTCAAGTTAATGCTATCATTTCACTGTTGGCTGGCAACATAATCGGTGTGCCATCCAGCAAAGCCTCAATCAAGATTATCCAAAGGTTACTGCTGTTAATACACAGTTGTAGCAATCATGTAAACGTCACAATGAGCTTGAGAGGAGCTTGTCGGTGGGCTGTCTGCACGGCAGCTGGACCAGTTTTGTAGATTATGTAAACATGCGCGTGCTGTTCGAGAATCACTTTCTTTGTTGTGTCATCTTAAATTCCTCTGTTCTGAAACCTCAGGGTTAGGTAGCCAGAAAAGGCCATAATTATTAATTTTTTTCATTTTTTTAAAGGAACCTGTCACAACTACTCAGATGTGTCTGTTAACACTTAAAATATACTGAAGTCATCTCATTAGCTTATACTGTTTTGTTCATACAGAGACCGATTAAAAAAAAAAAATCGCAAACACGCTCGACTCCAATGATGGAAGTGAAAATTAGGGTAGTGTCCTTAGAAGAAAAGTAGAGGAATAAAAATCTTTGGAATCCTGAGTGAAAAATCTGATTGTTTTGAAATTATTCCATTCTAAACATTTAGCAAAACACACGGTGTGTAACTTACAGCAAAAAGCTAAACCCTTTTCCTTCTACGTTACTGTTAAACATGACTAAAACCCGCTTTTACTTGTCCAAGCCCAGTCTAATAAACCTTTTGCATTCTTTAAACACTCAACCAATACATCGTGGGGAGGGGGGGTTTGTTTCAAACATTGTTCATTCAGGTATTCTGTTACATCTTTGAAGTGTCAGTTTAACCTACTAATCTGCTTTTTTTGGTTAATATTTAGCAGAGATGGTAAAAAAGCTGCTTGTGATAATCAAAAATACAATAAGAACGAATAAGTATATAGCCAGGAATCTGGAAGCAACGTGCTACAATAACAGTTGACCCTGTTAAGATATAGAAAGGAACACAATACAAGCACACACAAAAAAAAAGCCTTTTAAGCGTTCATACATGTGTAACAAGCTACAAAGAAAGCACGACTTTTGGGTTAAACTTAGATAAGACTGAGACAAAAGGAAGCTATGGGTTAGAAAAAAAGATCCCTAAATCCCCCTGTGTTTATAAAATATAATACAGTTTGATTATTACACAATTAAGAAACATGCGGCTTATACGTATGAATACAGCCTGATGCCTATTGTTGCATTATACATACTGGGTAAATTGTTCGAGTTGCTCGCGTCTTAAAAAATACATCCGAAGGCACTTGATTGATCAAAGGTTTAACTTAGACTTCCTGGCACAGCCAAGCAGCGATGTAGTCAGTTCCCCTGCTTCAAACCCTGCCCCCCACCCTAATAAAAAGCAAAGCAACCATCTCCAAATCGCACCTCACATTACCTTCACTCCAAATCAGTATTGTTCTTTTTGCTTCAAATACATCATTTTTGGTTTTTCAGGATTGTTGGAAGGAAACAAAGAAAAAAAAAATTTGAGGCAAACATAAAGCTATTTCACTAAATTCAATAGTCCCAGATACGGATATTTTGTGTTGCACTGCAAAAAAAACAGAGAGGCTCCAGAGACTCCAGGTTAGAAGCAACATGGGCAGTCCTTACAGAGGAGCACATGCACTTGGTCAGTCCAGCGATGATCTGGGTAAATAAGCTGTCAGACCTGTGAACATTTTTGGGGCCCTTGCATAATTGTCTGTTCATAGGCCAGCCTTGAAGACACAGACAAATTTAAAAAGATAAAAACACAAGTGAAAAGATCAGAATACTGCCTGAAAAGAGGTTAGGCCTTGCATGGAGAGAGGCACAGAAGTTCAAAGAGGCTCGCTGAAATGTCTGGTAAAAGCATCCATGAATCCTTCACAGATCAGAGCCGGCAAAAGTCCAGAACGCAGCGTGTCCTCTATAACCAAGTCAGGAAGTTCTCCTTGTCGATCTTGGTAGCTGCCAGGACAGATTCCATGTCACTGAGGATATCGGAGCTCAGGGGCTCCTGCAGACTGGCCATCAGCTCTTCACTCTCCACCGCCATGCTCTCACTTTCCAGGGTGCCTAGATCCACGTCTGTTCCCGGGATGGCATCCAGGTAGTCTGGGAAACGATTGGGCTGTGTAGCAATGGAGGGCGGGAGAGGGTCTCCTGATGAATGAAAGATAACATAACTTTTGAGCAAGCCTCAACAGGAGGAGATGACACAAACCAAATCCATAACTTTACAAAGCAAAACAGCTTTAGTGTGAATTTCTAGCCAAAATCTCAAGGTAAAGAGATATTTCTGTATGCATCAATAAAGAGCTGAACGTTCATGGCAAGTATCGTGCAACCACTCAGAGTGTGTGTCACAACTTAGTGAATTACTACTGACTTTACTAGAAACTTTACATAAGATACTGAGAATATCGCAGAATCCTTATGAAGGGTTTTCTTTTAGAGCAAGAGTTCCCTGGTTATCTATTGATAAGAACAAAAAAACAAACAAAAAAAACAAGAAAAAAACAGCCCCAGTAGGTTGGATTGATTGATCAATGTTCGATGAGATGTTCAAAGCTTAGGATATTGATTGATAACTTAACTCTGCTTTAAGCCCTCCACTACTTTCTTCCTGACCTTTCTGCTTTGATCCTTTGTCATGGTGCCATTTGTTCACAAATGTTCCAAAACAAGCCTTCTTCTTCTTCTTCTTCTTCACTAAACAGTTATATAATGTGATTAAATTAAACAAAGGTGGACTTAATTTTAGGTGACTTTAGACATCCGACAAACGGCTGCACCAGAATTCATTTAGGGTTTTTAGAATAAAAGCATTGAGAAATTCAACACCACTCTTTTCAGATTTCCTGTACTAGAAAATCATTTAAAAATATATATAATTCTATTTTCATTTCATATTTCTGAACTCCTTTATCTAAGCCTGTTACATTTAATTACAAAACCAAATCTGTTGTTTGGGTTGATGATATGACAAATGTGGTAAATGCTCGAATATCACTCCAAAAAAGACTTTTAGAATGACAGTTTAAATTCTTGTTCTTACCTCTGTGGCTCTAAATGTCCAGGCTCCTGACTATTTCTGCCCTTAATTTCCATTGTTCCAACTGAGACCAGACTTTTATGTCCTGCTTTTATTTTTACTGTAAATCTCTTGTGCTCGTTACATATATTCTTTTTTTGTTTAAATAATGTATATCCTCATTTTAGTTTCCTGTACCTTGCTTTGCGACTTTGTGCCTTTGACTAGCGCTTCTTAAAAAAGACCATTCTAACAGAATCTGGTAAAGTTTAAGAGGTTTTTAACCTAGCTCTTACTTCCAAGTGTGCTGCCAAAACTGCAGATCATAATCAGAAAGCACTGTAAAAGGCAGCACTGTTTATAGGATAAGACTATATCAATACTCATGGTTTGGATGACTTGCACATGGGCAGAAAAGACAAAAATTAGTTTAGTCTTTTAAGATTTTGAAAGGAACATAGGCTGCAATTAAGAAAACATATTTTCCATGGAAATAATTTGATAAAGTAATGCCAGACTTCACTTTCCCAAACGATGAAAATCCACTTCTGTGTGAACTTAACTGGTCTGCCTGCAGTTTAAATCTGTCTTCCGTTAGAAAAGAATTAGAAATATTCCACAACTATTAACAAGCTAAGGCATTGAGTACAGATTAAAAACAGTTGCAAAGCAAAGAGCAACTCAAATCTAAGTTGAACCAAAAACAACGTTTGGTCTGTTTTGATGCATTAACAGATGCAGAGAAGGAGGGCACAGAGCATTACTAACCAGTATCCATCTCGTCTACACTGTTCAGGAAGTCATCTGGAGTCCGAGGAACACTGTAGCTGCTCATACTCAGTCCGCTATCTGTGCTCTCATCCCTGGAGTGGTAGGTCCCGCTGGAAATCCAGAAACAGGAAAACATACATTATAAACTGCCTAAAACCAAAATAAATCAAAATGAAACTTTACTTTCTGCCACATTTGATCTGCTTTTGTTTTTGCTGTCAAACAGAGATGTATTTAGGACCTCCTACATTTGATTCTCTCAATGGTTAACCAATTCCCATACACCCAAACATGCTTTTTCATTCAACATAACAGAAACAAGAAAAAAAGCAACAATGAAAAGGACAGCAGAGACAAAAGGAGAAAAGAGGATATTTGACAAGCCTATACTAATTAGCAGAAAAATATGTAGGCAGAGTATGGCAGAAGCAGGATGAATGAAGCCTTTGTGAGAGCAGGGGGGGAGAGAGAAGGGAACCGGGAGGAGGAGGGGAGATTAGTTTGGCCTGTCTACTGACGGGACCACATGTTCTCATGGCCTGCTTGCTATTCAGCTCTTTCCACACTTTGTCTGCTCATGGAAGAACTGGAGCTTGAACCGCTCTGAATTTGCGCCGCACTAAGATGGTAAGTTGCGTTTACATGCAGATAATCCCTTTGTCTGTACCGAGCTCACAGCTGCTTCCGATCTGGCTCTTCAGTAATAAAGGCCAAACAACCCATTTTTCATAACATGCACCACCATTTTAGCTTGGATTTACCTTAATGGCAGCAACTGTACACCAGAGGTCATCGTTGTGCACAAAACTTCCAGCCTGCCTGCTGGTCTGTGTGAGTCATTAACATGTGAGGAGGGTTAAGCCCGGAGACAGGCCCTCTGTTTTTACAACTTGCGTAATTCAGCCCTAAGCAAAGCTCAAACAGCCTGGTGCACCGATTCCCTCACAGAGGAGGCAGTAAGGCAACTGAGGCATGACGAGCTGAACCAGAACTGGAAGTATTTTGGCAGGCTGGCTTATATGAGTCAGATTGGGCTGCGACAGAGAAAGACTTTATCCACTTTCTTTTACAGAGCTCTCTGTGTGAGGCTGACCTGTTGAGGAATGGGTCAGAGCTGTTGACAGTCATGGTCCGAGCATCCTGGGCCAAAGGGGAGGACACGGGGTTTGTGCTGCCATCTTGATCCATACTGGTGGGCAGCTGGTTTCGCAAAGCAAGCTCCTGTGGGAAATGACGAGAAGTGATTATAAACAGCTGCAGCTTCCTAAAAATATGCCTGAACCGTCTAATACCATGTTGCCACAAGTGGTTTTTGGGCTGAGTATATAATGACATTTGTTATTTGCAAGATAAATAGCTATAGGTTAACTGTGACAAGCAGCCAGTATGTACCAAGAACCAAAATGGAGTTCTTAATGTTCTCCAAGAAGCACTGTAGATGATCATAATACTCAATAAGTTACATTCAACAAAAGGATTAATCATATTATTATGAAACTATTCAACTTTCCCTCATGTAATAACTTTTACAATCACAAACCTCTTTGTATTTTATTTAATTAAGTTACCCCAAACATTTGGTTGCACTGGACCTCATTTAGGGCTATCGGGGTAATAAAACAATAAATATTGAAAACAACGACAATGGTTCTTCCTCATCATTTACATCCAAGGTGCAGTTTGTAGCATTGTTGTCTTGTAAGCATGAAGGTTTCGGGTCTTGGGATTTTTCTGCTTAGAGTTGACATGTTCTTCTCTCACAGACCAAAGACATGACTGTTAGGTTAATAGGTAACTCTAAATTGTCCTTAGGTGTGAATGTGTGTGTGTGCATGGTTGTGTGTCTCTGAGTTATCCCTCAACAGCATGGCGAAATGACCAGGGTGTACCCCGCCGTAGACTGCCAGAGGTAGGCCCCAGGCCCAGCGCCACCCTGACAGAATAAGCAGGAGAAGATGGATGGATGGTTCTATCTTTTTTTTTATCCTAATGCTTTTAATGATCATCTTTTAACAGTAGTTTAAGTGCCTATTATTTTTAAATTCATTAAAGAAATTGTATTTTCTCTTCTCCCTCCATTTATTTGCCTTATGCTTTACAGACAGTTTTACTGCTGGTGGTTACTTTGTGTGACCACCTCTGTTGTTTCTTAATTAAAAAGTGTGATTCTGTCCAGTTTTACGTCATCCTAGTAATTAACCTAGGTTAACATTCTCAGAGCCATGTTATTTGATAAAGTCTCGTTGTATTCTACAAGTTTGATGGGACTAAATTAGTAATGAGTTAAGGATTAATGAAACAATTTTCTCAAAATAAACTATTTAAGTACTTCCTGCTAATTCTTTCACTCCCCAAATGTAGAAATGTTACCATCTGGCTAAAGTAGAGTTAAACCATGTAAATTTTTTTATTTCGTCACATAATCTGAAAAGGCTCAGACGTCATTCTACCACTCTTGTGGTCCGACCAAACTGTAATACTCGTTATAAAACGTTTGACAAGAACTGCTCTTATTCCTGCTGTAGGAACACGTTACTGCCTGAAACCCCCCCCATGCAGTGTTATGTTACACAAGGGGCCGGCTGCTGCAGTCCAAGACAATTGTTTTCTACACATGCTGTATCAGATAAGGTTGAGGATATGATGTCATGTTGTTCTTTTCCAACTCCTTAAACGGGAAGGTGAAATGACTTGACCACTGTCACTATTTTGAGTTTTTACGGGAAAAAAAAAAAGAAGCAAAGGAAGGTCAGCTTTATGGTGGGGAGTGATGTTTCGGCATAAAACGTTCCTCCTACTCAACAGTCTGTTTTTTTTTTTTACTGTAACTCTGGCAGGAATTAAGAACAGGCCCTGCTAAAACACAAGATTGCAACAGATGTACTTGTGTCAAACTAGACATGGCTTTCATGTCAGGCTGCTGCTTTCAGTTTCTTGTTTTCAGACTGATCTGTTCTGCAACTTGTCATCATTTAAACACTCTAAGTTTGTTTTTAGTGAGACTGAAAAGTCTTATTTTCCATCTGACAATGGAGGTCCCATTTCCTGTTCAATAAGGCAGGTAAGACCAGTGCCAGCCTTTGCAAACTCGATAAACAAGTCGAGTTATTCTGCAGAGTTACTTGTGAAGTCATCCGTTGAGCCCAGAAAAGGATGGGCACTTTCAATTGCAGGCCACTGGATAAAGCAAATCCACTCCCAAACAATAGAGTATGTGTTGATGTGTTTGTGCACAAAAAGCAGGAAATGAATAGGCAATTTCATTTCCAATTAATCCCAAACCATAATCTATAACCCAAACGACAATTAATAGACATGGTTGGGTCTAAACTGTTACATGGAGGAGAACAAGACGGATTTTTTTCTGTGATCTTGCAAATCTTATAAGCCCCCAACAGCTGCAGAAGCTAAATATAACCAACGTTAAGTTGGTTTGACGAATTCCTGCTTATAACATTTATTAGTGCTGTAGTAAGGTTGTGTTCCAACTGTTTCATTTGTCTTACTACCTGCTATTATTATGTTTTTATCTTCATTTGCTTTAATTCTGCTTTCATTTTTCTTCTATTTTATTGTTTAATACATGCAAAGTACTTTGAATTGTCCTAAAGAGAAATAAACCGACATCTGTTAAAGACTCCTGATCTGTAATGTGATTTTACACAAAAAAAAAAAAAAAAAAGTGACGTCCAATTTAATCTTCATTATCCAGAAATTTTTTTTCTGATGCCATTTTGGTGTTTAAAAAAAAGTTTTTTTTGGTAAGTAGTAAACTCTTATCCACCATGTTTGAATATACATATATTTTTGTAAACGTTGGAGCCAGAAGATATCAAATTATTGCCAAATAAAAATCTGCCATTTAAAATAAGCCAAGCAGCAGACTTCCTGCCGCAGAAACCTTTCAGTGCAACCAAATCTTTTCTATTGTGCAATCTTTGATAAGAACTTCACAATAAGACGGTTGCTTAAACCTAAATCACATGATCTCTGTGGCTCCTCAGTAAGGTCAGATTGCTGTATTCTTCTCCCCGCCCGGTGCAGGTACACACAGGTCACTTCCTACACCGTGAACTTTAAACAACCCAAGTGAACGGCAGGATAAACAAAGTCTCCAACCCTCTCATTCACAACCATAAAGCTCCATTTCTGCTATTATGATACAGCCCTGAGTAAAACAGGACAAGCCACCCTATGTGGGCGGCACTGACACGTCGCTGTTAGGAAGTGATAAAATTACCAAAGATGACTCACATTCTTTCATAGCAGGATAGCTCAACAATAAAATCTGATCAAAGAAGCTTAGGATCCACCACTATACTCGTAATGCTGACTCACCGACAGGCCTGTAGGAGAAGTACACCCTAAGAACTAAATAACACTGCAGTTACCTTTATTTAACCAGTGAGTCATTAAGGATCAAGCATAAGTCATGTAAACACACTGATAGGAAGCGATCTCCCCCCAAAACGATTGGCCTGACACCGATCTGTGATGGCTGACCTGTGGCCTGTGCTGCTGCAGCCGGAGTCTCTCCTTCTCGATCTGCTGCAGTCTCAGCTGGTTGTTTCCTCCCATGACTCCACCGTGGGTGCTGGAAGGCAGCTGTCCGGACTGTTTAACTGGAGCACTCTGTGTGATCCGCTGTTGGTTCAGAGCTGCAAAAAAAAAAAAATGTTCAAATGTGAGACTAGGGTATGTATATAGTACAATGTTTGTTGCAGGAAAGAAACTCACAGAACCGTTCACCCAATATGAACAACATTATGCAATACTCTCGATACTACATATAGTGTATACAAAAAATATATATAAACGGCTTAAATAAAAGTTTGAATTTTCAGAAACCAAAGTCTCATACAATGGCAGAGAAAACAGGTTTTGTATTTCCTTACTAATCTTTTTTCTTCTTTGTGTATTGCGGTTCATATTAGATAAAAAATTATTTTAAGACTTTTAAGTTGGACATGATTTGCGTTTTTTTTTTTTTACCAAAAGAGTCAAACAGGTAAAACTGGGGCTTGTTCTAGAACTGGTTCTCAAGTGGATCTAGAAAGTAAAAACTGGTTTGGTTTCCCCTGCCAGATAGCTAGCTAAGTTCTACATCATTACATCAATAAAAACATTTATTTCTGTACAATTTGATCCTGCATCAGTCCAGAGGGTTTTAAACATGGCTGCTTGTTCTGCCATTCAAATGTCTTCCAACAATCATCTTATTCCCATCCTGCAGCAGCTTTTTCATATCTCCCATCCTCTTTGTAATTCTTCTACTCACTTTAAAAGCTAATCTACAATCTCAGTCCTCCATAATTATCTGAACTTCTACAGGTATCCATCCCCCCTGCTCCCTTAAATCAGCCTCCTCCCTCATCCTCTCTGTTCCATCTACATCTTTTCATCACCATGAGGTGCAGATCTTCAACTCTACTGCTTGACCTTCAGATTCAATGTCGTCTGACCAACGAAAAACATCACTTCTTTCTTTAAAGTTCATAATCTAAACATTCTAAATGATGGCTTTAAACTGTACAGAGTACCCGTTAAAAAAAAAAAAAAAAAAAAAAAAAAAAAAAAAAGTCTTGTTATCATCATTGTTATGACTATTGTTTCGATGCCATTTGATGTAGCGAGTCTTTAGTTGTGGAGGTTATGGAACAAACTGGTTTTAAGCAAGCATGAGATTTAGTTTAGCAATGAAACTGGTTCGGTGAACTAAAAATAGAACCGAAAGTGCATGATATGTTGCTTTAAACCCCCCTCTAAAAAAGCTCACAATCAGATCTTGAGTGCACTATCAGCCACTATCCATTTTGTTCAACACTTGGCTACCTTTTAAACATCGCAAAGCGAGATTGACAACTTGCACATTTGTCAACAGGTTGAACGTGTTGAAGAAGCGATCCAGTGCAGCCGGTTGTGTAGAACAAGAAGTCCCAGTAAAGGTTTTCTATCAACTATCTGAAACAACCATTCCTGTAAGACCTGATCCTCTCCCACTCACTGACTAACACTTTGTTGGCTTTGTACATTGCATAAGGCATGACTTATCCTTTCATTATGTCTTTTGTTTCCCCTTAAACAAGTTGCAGAACTGACCGCCTCCTTCTCCCGGCCAAACTGGTCCCCATCAGCAGGGGTGGACTTGCCACACAGGCTAGTTGGGGCCCCCTACTAGAATAGTCCCTGCCAGTAAGGGCTACATTGCGCTGGTTGTTCACCTCCCAAATAACCCCCACCCCCAGAATATGTATGCTTGTTTGACATGAAACACTAATTACAATTAAAATCAATGACCAAAACCATGACACAATTTCTCATTGACTTCTGCTCTTTTCTTCTAATATGCTGAAATGGACTGATTCATCGCATCACATAAAACATCCCGACATGCAAGATGATGAGCAAGAAAGAGAGACCAGAAAAGAAAAATATGAAGCAAAGATTATAAGTGAGGAAGTGAGGAATAAGTTGATACAAAGATGGGTTAAAACCCTGCACGTTGTATGAGTAGCAGAGGATCGCATTAAGAAGACATTTCAATCTCAGACTGACTGAAATTCAGTCTGTTCAAAAGATACATTAAGCCCCCAAAATAACATTATATTTAATCACTTTAATTAAAAACCAATCAGATCAGCTGTCTTTCTATGCCAATAATCACTACCTGCTGAACCTTTGGGGCTGGACTGGCAGTTGTTCATCCTGTGATAGTCAAAGCAGTTAAATTTACTCGTTCATTAGCCGAAAAGTGCCTCAAACAGTGCTGCAACAGGGGGACATGCATAATTTCAGAGCATCATGGAGGCAACAGCAGAGTGTGAATCTGGTGCCTCTTTACGCATGAGATGGAAGCTGATGAACCCAGGCTGAACTTAGTGATGAAACCTAAATGCTGACTCAGAATGGGATAATTTTAAGTAACGACTGATTACCTATTCACTATGCAAAATGAAAGCTGGAGGTTTAAACATCCCCATCCTCGTGAAGAACAGAGGGCAGACAGACTTTTACCAGGCTACATTTAAAATAAAATACAATGAAAAAAAAAAAACGGCAGAAACCCTCTTTGGGAGCTTTTACTTGGATTTATATCATTATGTAAACAGTTTCTTATGTTTTTGAAAAACACAAAAAAATAATTGTGTTTGAACAGCATTGTTCGATAAACTGAGACAATATAATGTATTTGGTGCCATGGAGACATTGTGAGTACAAGAGTATCCTTCCCTCTTTTGGTTCTGATTCTAAGTATACAGATCTGGGTTGTTTAAAGGAGCGTAGCGTAAGTTACAAAGTTTCTGCAGATGTTTTCCCTCTATGGTGTTACGCACATGCATACGAGAGGAGTAAAATCACTCCTCTTAGTTTGTTTGAAGGTGTATTGTCATCTGCAGTAACAAAGTTAGAAATGTTTAACATATTTTCAATACCATTTTAGCGAAAAGAGGACCTCTGTCCTGTTAAACCACTCACTCCTTCTTAAAGCCCTCTCAATATTTACTCTCCGTATGATCTGCTTCTGTTAAAACTCAAATTCTGCCCCTTTTGTCCCATGAGACATAGCTTTACTCTCCCTACTGTGGAGTCTGTGATGGGGTTTGAGCTGCACTTGTGGCTGGTGATCTGCTCTCCATCCTCACAAATGTTGGCGCCACTGTTGTTTTTCTGTGACATAGACTTAAAAAGGCAGCGGGGTGAACAACAACGTGCGTCACACCCCACACGGACGCACAGAAAATTGACTGAACTGACTAATGAAGCCTGTAGAAACAAATGTGGTTAATAAAGGAAAGCTAACTATACAACAGACAACTGTAAGAGCACTTATGGGAAAAAAAGAAATCAAACTTGCACAGGTTAACCTTAAAGATGAAGTATTAACAGGAAATAAGATATACTGATTAATAAAACTTAGGATTCCTTTGTTTAGGATTTTATTTTCAAAATAGTATGTGTGAAATTTCATATATAAACTAAACTTATTAAACAAGAATTCTGTTTCACTCTAACTAAATACAGACTACTAGTTTCTGCGTACTGAAGTAAAAGTACGGATAACAGACGAAAGATCCAGGTCATAATCTAAACCCTACATGTTTACACATTTTCTCTGCTGAAAGTGTTATTGATAAGGATTTTACAAATGGCTTACATTCGCAATGGAGAACAACAGGATTTGTTCTAAAATGTTTCTATTTATCTATTTTGACAGATACAAATTGTTTCTCAGACAGATGGTTTTAAGAAAATCTACCTTATACCACTTTGTTTCTCTATGTTTAAATAAATATATCGGAGGTATATATTTCATGTTTTTAAAATATTTCAGGCCTTCTCTAGATATTATTTCCTTTTACAATTGCTTTTTATCCATCGATAACTCAGGCTTTTAAATCTTTTCTTCTACTATTTTTTAGTTTTTATTTAAACCAAGTAGATTATTCTAAACCTTTTTTTTTGTTTCAGATTAATTTACATCAAATTGGAGAATTATCATTATTTTTATAGAGGTGCAGAAGGTATGTTTTAACCTCCTAAACTTCCTGTCACTCCTGGAACAAGCAGAAAGCGACGTCTCCCATACAGTAGAGCCCTTTCAATGACTGAGGAACATTATCCGTTTAAAACCAAGCATGCTGGGATGCATGTTTGTTGATTGACAGCTCCATCCAGATGGAGAATCAGATTCTTTAATGAATGCTGTAAGCTCATGTCTCTGGTTCCTTAACTGTGGAAGACTAGAGAGGGAATAGAGTAAAAAGATGTGCAACACTCTGGTTCACAGTATCTCAGTATTACCCCTTTTACACTGGTCGAAACATACAGTCGGATTTTAGCGGCAGTGGGAACAGATCACTGACACGTGCCTCCCCGGGTCAAATGACTCGGCAAGCGTTAAAATCACCTCGGCTCTGATAGGCATGCTGTGGGAACAACAGACCCTGGTTGAAACGCTAAACTACGTGACTTTGAGCACAACGTACGTACATCTCAACATTGCGCCGTTGACGTGTTAACTAACAATCCCAAACAACTCTGCTTGTATTCGAGAAACATGGCACACATGATCCGCGGAGAGGAGGAGATTCATTTACATTTAGTATTCTGAGGATCTACAACAGAGCGAAATAGTAAAGAATACTGACTATGCTCTGGCTCCCATCCATGTTGATCTCTGTTATTTACTTCACAGATTCCCGTCACACTGTCGACATCAGCAACGCTCACCCAGCGTGATGCCGTCATCAGACGCGCAGTGGTGGGGGACAGTGGCCAGCAGGGGCTTAGACCCGGCTTTTCGGTCAATTGGGTAAAAGAGCAAAAAGCCGATTGTTAGCGGGTCAACCCGGTTTTGAAAAACCCAGGTTTTCAGTGGGAAAGTGGCTTAAGACAAGGTCTACTTGAGGAGGGCCCCTGTGCAAAGGTTTGAGTTGGGCCCCAAAATAGCCAAGTCAGCCACTGCCTGTCAGCTGATCCTATGAATCTGATATTATCCTCAGTAAAATAGACCTACATCAGGTGGTGTAAATACAGAGCCACTATTAACATACGGTCCTTTCACATAACAAATGTAAATGCATTTTGCTTTAGCAAGCAAATCACATGTTTACAATATCGAATGTGTTTGTGATGAAAACACAGCTGTTCCTCAGTA